AAACCCTGAAACAACCTCTGGGCTGATCTAAGTCAGGGCATGGCTTACTCACAGATTGAACCCTGAAACAACCTCTGGGCTGATCAAAGTCAGGGCATGGCTTACTAACAGATTGAACCCTGAAACAACCTCTGGGCTGATTTAAGTCAGGGCACAGCTAACTCATAAATCGAACCCTGAAACAACCTCTGGGCTGACCTAAGTCAGGGTAAGCTTACTCATAGATCAAAACCTGAAACAACCTCTGGGCTGATTTAAGTCAGGGCACAGCTAACTCATAAATTGAACCCTGAAACAACCTCTGGGCTTATTTAAGTTGGAGCACGGCTAACTCATAAATTGAACCCTGAAACAACCTCTGGGCTTATTTAAGTCAGGGCACAGCTAACTCATAAATTGGGCTGATCTTTATTTCTTTTATAAAATGCAAAGGGCGCGTGCATGCTGTGTGCTCTCATAAAGCATACACTCCCAACCAATCAGAATGTGAGATTTATAAMGGTTATTTTATTTATAATGTCTATTAGTCTCTTATTTATTTCATAGCTTCAACAAATGTTTATTAATGCTCTGAAGCCCCAACAAGTCCAAATGATAACTAGATTTCACTAATATTCTTGTATTTCTGTTATATTATTTGCAGTCATGTCCTCCCTCAGAAAATGAAAATTTGGAAAAAACTGAACTAACGAGAATAAAAACAGCRCATCAAGTAGAAAGAGTGAGTGTTGATTTGCTTTATTTCATAATGGCATCAYGGTTTGTTTACATCGGCTAAAATTTAGGCTAAATTTAAGCTTAATTTTCTTCTTTTGAGAWATTTAGCTAACAGTGTAATAACCTCTATTTATTCATTCTGTTTATTTTAGGAGAAGCTTCAACTGTGTCTAGAGCAAGAAATTGTTAGACTATTTAGTAGTTTTGCTCGTAGGGCCATAGAAAAAGATACCCCAGTTGGTGTTTGTACCATCATACAACAGCAAATGAAATCACATGGCAGAGAGGTTTGTGTACTAAGCTTGTCACTTTGTTACAATATGTACATGTAGGTCGTGAAGATATCCCACTGGGAGATTAGTGAGGGGTGAGGAGGGTCTAAATATATATATATGTATATAATATAATATATTTGATAAATTGGAATTTCAAACGAGTGTGGATAGGAAAATGAGTTAGCTCCAAAATAGTTGAAGGTGCAAGACATTTATTGCCTAGAAGAATTTCTGTATAGTGTTGTTTATTTGTTTGTTTGTTTAAATGTTAAGCAATCATTTTATGTTACCTGTTTTAGGATACAAAACCCAAAAAGAATGTAGACAAGCTTTCAGGTCAGTCTATCAAAGCTGAAGTCGAACAAATTCTAGAGAAGTTTGAAAAACTGAAGGTATGTCCATGTAGGATTTCTTTTCTTTTCMTTTTGTTTCTTCATTGTGTTTTTAAGGTTTCCTTCATTCTTCTATTCCACACATCCATCCATCCATCCTTTTATTCATCCATCCATCCCCCACCCACGCACCAGCCCATCCATCCATCCCCCACCACACACCCACCCATCCGCCCATCCATCCATCCCCACCCACGCACCCACCCATCCATCCATCCTCCACACACCCATCCATCCATCCGTCCATGCACCAACCATCCACTCATTCATCCTTCCTCCCTTCCTTCCTTTCATCCATCGACTCGCTGATAAATTCATTCACCATTTCTATGCACACATACTAGTTTCCCTACCCGTCAAATATCTTCCAATTCCACGTTACATCAGGTCACGGGATGCATGATGCAACAGCTCTAACTCATTTACATAATATTCTGATTATTTATATGGAATTCTCTTGCAGACCAAACTTCTGAACCGTCAGAGACACGAAATCGATGCAATAATAGCG